CCAAAAGCTAAATATTTGAAAAAGATATATGTAAGTATCTAAGGTACTTTAAAATAGGTGGAACACCTGAGAATCTTATGTAAATTATATTAAAACTTAACGTTACAGTTTCCATAAAACAGAGACAGAATGCAACACCTCATTTGGAAACTATTGTGCATCTGTTTTCATCANTGTTAACTGAACTTGTAGATTGCATCATATTATAAAAGTGTTTACAAAACTGGTTATTGCAAAGGACTCAACAGTGAGTGATATTAATAGAGAATATTCTTTAGGCATGAAAGTGGCCATCCCTACGAGGCCGCTTGTGAGCAAATACATTTTCCTCGTCTTAAGTTGGGGCGCTCTGTACTTGAGCTTGACCGACCCAGTGCAAGCCTGATGGAATCGCAAGAAAGTCCCTTTTCTTTATCAGATGTTTTATCAAAGCATAAGCCAGACAAAGAGAAGGATTGACTTTTAAAAGTTGGTTGGCATAAGAGATTTCTCACTTCTTCCAAGCTTTTTAGGTAAGTACAGCTTGCTAAACTCTAAAACATCCCTTATAAAGTGGTCAAAATCCATCAAAGTCCTGGGACAAAACTATTTGGTCTCATATGATTTGATTCCACTGGATTCAAACCAAGAAGTCCTGGTTAACAGCAAACTATTAACCAATATTCATGGTTGTGAAAGCATGCAGACTGGAGCATTCCTTGAAAGTGTCCTGCAGGGGAAATCCAAGACTCCTACCTCGTCTTTCTTATTGCTTTCCTTCTTTCTGTCCCCGTTTGCAGGAACATCACCTGCAACTGTTTTATTTTAAAGCAAGGTTTTAAGCGGAAATTGTTCTCAGCCTGAAAGGTATTTTTTTTTCCTTCCCTCAAGGACAGAATTTTATTATGATGATATTATTCATGATTTATTGAAAATGCCCAGATAGAAAACAAATGTTTTTCATTAGAGAAAAGAAAGGGGTTGCACCTGAACACATAAGTTGAGTTCTGCGTTTTGCATTTCAAAATTTCAGTGAACTGGATGGTCCATGGAGTCTAGCTCTCTAATCAGTTTATCAACAAATATTGTCTATGATCTGTTAAGGCTATGAATCTTCAGGTACTTTACATAACATATATGCAAATATATAAATTAGCATTAAAAATAACCCTGCCAGACCAAACTCACATATAGTAGTTTGTAAATACTGAAAGGGTTGTGTACCTAAAGTTTGCTTGGATCGTGGAATGAATTACCCATGTAAAGTGACTAGATGTCTGGCAATTTCCAGGAAGCAATTTGATTCATCATGAGATGAAATATTGTCAACAGTTTCACTGAGTTGCAGAATCTCTTAGGAAACCTTGACGCTGCAGCCCTTTCCAATACCCCAAGGGGTGGGTAGGAACTGGTTGTTTCTATGGCAGCAAGAAGCCTCCAACAATAAGAAGTGGGCGGGGCTTTGGTGACCCTGTGCTGGTGACATAAAGGTGGGAAGCTGCTCAGGTGTGAATTCTAGACTCTCAGGTTCCATGTTCTGCCAGTTCCTGGCTGGCTGAATTAAGCCTCTTCAGGTCACAAGTAACAGAAATGGGGAATTTTTACCAGGGACTCAGGGGGTAGCTAAGGAACCCAGGGAAGGAAGAACCTCACAGGACTGGAACCAGGCACCCTGCAAAGAGCTGGCTCTCAGGGGTCATTCGCTCCCCTTGCCTACCTTCTCTGTATGTCTGCTTTATTTCTCCCTCGCTAGCATATGGCAGAGCTCTCTCCCCCCACACCCTCCCAGTGTGGTCTCCAGTTTTTAAATTTTCTTCTCTTTATTTTAACAGATACTGACTGGGGTCTTTGAATCCAAATTCCCCAAAAGAAAGCATTTGATGAGTCTACATTTGGTCAAGTGTCCAGTCCAGAGCCAATTAGCCTTGGCCAGGGGGCTGAAACATGGCTGCCAATATCCTCTCCCATCCTACAGGTAGAGAGGGTGCAGGAAGAAGGAAATTCTCCCATAAGAGCAGTGTGAGATGGCAGAACCCAAAAAGTATCTAATACATTTTGTAACTTTGGGAAAAATCACCTCACATCTCAGAGCCTCAATTTTCCTCCTTTATAAAATGGAGAGAAAAACCACTTGCTCCCTAGGGTGCTTGTAGAATCTACATGCAACAATTCGAAAATAGGTGAACTCTAAGAGCATTTAAAAAATGTGAGGTTTTACTTAGTCTAGAACAGCGTTCACTGACTCGATATTTATTGAACACTTACTACACACTGGGATTACTTTTCAATACAAAAGTAAAGAGTAAAGATAAATTCTGGGAACAGAATGTATTTCAGTAATAAAGAGAACAAGTATTGGAGTCAGGCAGACCTGGGTTAAATCATCCTTCTACCAGTTATCAGCTGTGTGGCTTTTGGCACGTTTCCTATCTCTGAGCCTCAGTTTTCTCAAATGTAAAGTGGGAGCGTTCCTTCCTATTACAGCCTATGCCACCCTACTTGCTCTAGCTGCAGCCCACCTCTCCCAAGTCCACCCCTGTCCTCAAGTGTCTCCAGCCATGTTGGCGTTCTTCCTGGTGGCTCCTCCATCACGCTGAGCTTGGGCCTGTCTCAAGGCCTTCACAGCTGCAATTCCCTCTGTCCAAAATGCTCTTTCTCCTCATCTTGATAAGTTGAGCTCCTTGGTTTCTTTCAGGTCTCTGCACAAATATCCAACTTCTCAGACGTAACCAGGTTACCTAAATATGTCTCCCCTGTACCCCACCCACCATGCTCCTCTCTCTCCAAAGCACTTATCACTCCCTAAAAGTATATACTTTTATGATTTCCTATTAGCTGTCTCCCTTATTAAAATATAAGTTCCTTGATGGAGGGGCTCTTGTTTTTTTACACTGATGTACCTGCAGGCCCAAAATAGTGCCTGATACTGTGCAAACAGTGTCAAATACATGGATGATGAGTGGTTCCTTCACAGGGCTGCTGGGAGAAGAGGGGGTTCAACAAGTCATGGTGCAAAAACACTGATCACACGCCTGGCACAGAGGAAGTACTTGTGCTGGGTTTAATAGTGTTCCCCACAAATTCATGTCTGTCCAGAACCTGTGACTATTTGGAAGTAGAATATTTGTAGATGTTATCATGTTAAAATGATGAGGTCATACTAGATTAGAGTGGATGCTAATCCAACGACTGGTGTCCTTGTAAGAAGAGGGAGATTTGGACACAGAATCACACAGGGAGATCACCATCCAACAACAGAGGAAGAGATTGGAATGATACAGCCATGAGCCAAGGACTGCCACACGTAACAGCCTTATAAGGAAGATAAGAACTGAGGATTATTGTTTTATCAGAGGAAGAATCTGAAGCAACAGTCCCTGGAAGCTGAAGTCAGTACCCTCTCCTCCAAGGAGACAAAATGCATTGTCTGAATACAGTTATTAGGCCTTATGCAACATGTGTCATGTTTTGCTTTGCCTCTTTTTCCTAGTTGGGAAAAAGGACAATTGAAGCATCAAATTTGAGAGACACATCACTCAAGTGTCTTTCTGGGAGAACAAGTTCCATTAACTCAGAAAAAGAACAGTTCCTGACCTTCTCCAACTCCAGCTTTTAAAACTAAACCACAGGGTTGGGTCCTAGTGGCTGTAAATGAGAGCAACGTTGGCGAGAGGCACCGTGTGCTTCCAGGACTAGACATCTGTGTGACACAGCTGGAGTATAACAACAGCTCTGTGCATCTTCAGTAAGTTAAATAGAAAATGGTGTCTCCCACGAGTTTCATTGCTCTCTCAGACACCTTGATCTTGCTCTCCAGATGGGAAGGAGAGCAGAAACTAAGGCACGAAGGAGACCAAATCATCCTTGAAAGCTCCAGCCCAGAGACTCCTAGACTAAAAGCACAACTGGATAAGCACAGTAGTGGCAGGTGTTCGTTGCCAGTCATTTGTGTAACCAAATGCTTAGTAGGCTACCAGGAAATGCGCGGCCTTCTGCTGCAAACAGAAGACAAGGACTGAAGTGCCCTTTTGTTGCTGGCTGATCAGCTGGGCCCAATTTGACTGTTGCCTTCCACTCCTTGTGAGAAAGCTCTGAGGCTCTTATGTAGGATCTCAGCGCCCCTGCAAGGCGATTCGGGTGGGGGATAGGGGGTGGGAGGGAAACACCTCCTGAAAGAATGTTTCCTTTGCTGTTCTGAAGAGAGCCCTAAAACAGGCCCAGGTGCGGTGAGATGTCAAATCCTCCACCCTGCCCTTGACTACCTTGTTCTTTTCATGTCTAAAGGTTCCTGAAAGATCGTTGTGTAAATGGAGACAGAACGGAAGAAGTGGGAGGCGTGGCAAGCGTCCTCTTTCTTAATGCAGGAAACCGAGAAAGAATAGCTTTTCCTACCTACGCCTCTAAAATTGCTGCCCAGTTGCCAAATCACAAGGGCAGGGCAGGGGATGCGGAGGAACGCCCAGGGTCTACCTTGAACTTCGGCTCTTGAGCCAGGTCGAGGAAGTCCGGGACTTCGGGGAGACGTTGCATCACGCAGAGTTTGGAAAAGAACGTGGGGATTTCCCCTGGGGGGCTCACTCTCCTTGCCGGAAGAAAAGGCAGCAGTAGAGGGCTGGGTGCGGGGAGCCGGAGGACAAATCCGACTTCATGAGGGGCTCAAGCGTGAAAGGAAGGTCACTGAGCGATCAGACGGCGCACTGCGAGCTGGCCTCCCGCAGGCCCACAAGCGCTCCGCCGCTCCCCATTAGGTGAGCGCCAGCCGGGAGCGAGCGGGGGCGCGGTCGTGCGGAGGGGGCGCGGTTTAGACACCTGTGCTCCCCCGCCCTGATCCGAGCTAGCAGACGCCCGGGGAGCGCCCGAGCCCGCCCGAGCCCGCGGCGCGCGGACGTGCCCGAAGCGGGGTGGGGGCGGACACCTGCGCTTCTGGGAGCGCGGTGCGGACGCCAGGACCCGAGAGGCGCACCTATTGGGCGGGCGCCCGGGGCCCCGCCCGCCCTCCGCCCCGAGAGCGTGGCCGGCGAGTGCGAGGGCGGCGGGGACAGCGCAGCTAAAGGCGCTGGCGCGGCGGCGGCGGCGGCGGCGGCGGACCCGGCGCACCATGGCCGAGCTGCTGTGGAGCCTGCAGGATTCCCAGCTCGTCGCCCGCTTCCAGCGCCGCTGCGGGCTCTTCCCGGCGCCGGATGAAGGCCCCCACGAGAACGGCGCGGGCCCGGTGGAGGGCGCAGTGCGGGCGCCGGGGGTCGGACATCGCCCCCAGGCCAACGGCAAAGGTGGCTGTGGTCCGGCCAATGGGCTGCGGAAAGTCCCGGCCCCGCAGGTAACCGCGCGCCAGGTGTTCGCCTGGGTCGAGGGCAGGGAGGGGGCAGCCCTTGCCGCTGCGTGCGGACTAGCTGGTCCAGGAGACTCTGCGATGCTGAGACCGGAGTACACCGAGCCTGCGGGGACGAGAGGGCACCGTCCACTCCCGCAACCCGGCTCCTGGAGCTGTGTATGGAGGGGAAGGGGCAGGGGAGTCCAGTCACCGGGATGCCACCATCTAACGCTGCCCGGTGGCAGCTAGGTCTATTCAGACTTAAAATGCGCCCCCGACCTTTAAATGCAGTCTATTTAGAGATCTACCTTCATAAGTAGTTAAATGTATTACGTCCATGTATATTCTCCCAACTATGTAAGAGTTACGTAATTGAAAAGGAGCGGGGACGTCCTTGGCGTTTTCACTGGAGGCTTCCCAGGGGAGAAATGCTGAGAACTCCTGCGGGAGTTTCCGCCCCATCCCCCCTCTCCAGGTCTGCACTGATGAGGACGTGGAGCGGGACTCGGTGAGCTCTTCATCCTCCTGTGTCACCACCAGCTCCAAGGACAGAACTTGAGGGTTGATTATTGCTCCTGGAGAGATTTAGAAACCTTACTCCCCACCCGCAACACAGCCTCATCACCAATGATGAGATCCTACCAGCGCTTCGGCCTCCTCCCTTCCCCGCAGAGTCTCGGGGGCCCTCCTGCCTGATGGGTCTTGTAAACTGGCACCAGTGACTTTTAACAGATGCTGTCAGGAGGGAAGCCTACCGCGCTCCCCTCTAGGCGGTCGAGTGTGGTTATACAACCCACTGCGGCAGCGCACAGGCAACTCCAGGCGGGAGAGACCGAACAGGCTGCAGATGCTCAGGTGCCAGGGCTGCTGTCTGCCAGGGCTGAGCGCTGCCCCCGGGAAGGAGGGCTCTCTGCCGCAGTGAGATGCTCTGGGCACCCGCAGAAGCTGCCCTTTCCCTGGGGAAAGTAAAAAGTGTGGCACACAAGAAACAATGTATTAACACCTCCAGCTCTCCCTTTTTTTGGCGGGAGGTGGAGGAAGCCACATTTTTTTCTGCCTAGAAGTTTTGGTGACAAAGGGATGGCATTTATGTGTCGATTTCTAGATTTCTAGATCTAGTAACAGGAATTGTGAAGAACCTGGCTTCTATGTGGAGTGGACTATCGTGGGCACTGAATTATAGAATTTCGGAGGGTGGGTGGGGGTTGTGTGTTCCACTCTAAAGTCCTCTACAATATTTTTTTTCTCCTTTTATTTTCCCCTTCTCTGTCTCACATGACATCCAGTAAATTACTGATGAGTTTGAGACACCCCTCCCTGCCTTCCTTGTGACTTGTCTTTATCAAGTGAGGGGATAAGAACTCATCACGTGCCTGAAAGGTGGCATGTGTTTCTGTGCACCCACTGTTTACACACACAGGTGCGTGCGCTGGCTGCTCTCTCCTTTAGCTTCCACTGTGTCCCTCATTCAGGAAACTAAGGCAGAGTACATTTTTCCACTAGTGCTTCTCAAACTCTTTTAAACATAACCATTGCTAACATGTTCTGGAAAAGGGGCCTCTTGCCCTTTAAAAGAGCGTTAGGTAGGCTTCTTGAGAGAGGTGTCTTCTTGCTGCTGGAGGAACCTGGTCATTCAGTGAACCAAATGTAAGGGCTTTCCTTCTTCCCATGCAACACACAACTCACTCACTGTGGAGCAGGGAAAAAGTAAGAGAAGGCTAAAAATTCATGATAAGAAATCACCATATTGATATGTGATAGAAACAAAAAACATGAGAGCATTTGGTAAAGGAGAGGTTAGTGAATATTTTTAAAGGTATGTTGGTTTCCAGTGACTTGGGAAGCTTAATTTGCAAATACAGTTGGAGTTCCCAAAAGAAAACGATTGCATACCTGCCCCAGATAATCCATAGGACTCTAAGGGAACAGTTGAGGAAACTTTTCTCCAACAGATACCCTTACCCTTGGCCTCCCCTTTGCCCAGCCTGTGGCTTGCCTGAGCTGCCTTTCCGTTCTCTACATAATCCACACTCATCCTTCAGTTTCAAAGGTCAGTTCCTCAAGAGACACCTTTGCTCACCTTCCAGTGTCACCCATCTTTTATAGATTCTCTTTGCTTCTTATGTTTCTTCATTGCATTTTATCACACTGTGTAAATGAGCCCTTGTGTGGAGTTCTGATTATTGCCAATGTCCTGCGGTGGATGATAAGCTCTGAGAATTCAGGAACTTGCCTGGTGTGCTCATGGTTTTCTTCCTATGCCTGGCACATGGGAGCTCGGTTGATTCTGTGAATAAATGAATGCAGATTGCAATGTAAAGTCAGTTATTTAAAAGCAAGACAAGTAGATTCTTGCAGAGAGGTGTCTTCTTGCTGCATGAGAAGCCTGGGCCTCCAGCAAGCCAAATGGAAGGGTTTTCCACCTTCCCATCCAACACACAACTGCACTCACTGTACAGCAGGAAAAACTCAGAAAGGGCTAAAAATTCAAGACAAAGAATTGAAGATTTTTTTAAATTTAAAAATAAATATTGAAAATCAAAAACTTCCACATAGCCTAGAAGTCAGGCAACATTAGAACATTGATTTAAGACCATTCAAACAATAGAGAAGTTGTTTTTCTTCATTTGAGTGACTACATTGTAGCAAATCTAATTTTCTCAAATTCTACCTTTTCTATAGTCATTTTAATTTTTAAAACAGGACATGATTAAGGACCTTCCTTTACAAATTCTCTTAACACCACAGACTGCCAGCTTAAAGATTAACTACATGTTTTACAAACCAGGGCTTGTCTTGGCTTGCACAAAGCTGTCATTGATTAAGTCCAACTGGACTTCAGATATGTACTAGTAACCATGAATTTCATAGACAGAGGTGTGAGTTCTGACGAGTTAAATGCTTTGTTGCGAACTTACCAGATACGCACACAGTCAGGTCTTCTGACCCTCAAATCTAAACTTCTTGTTCTGATCAAGATGACAGAGTAGGTAAATGCTGTGCTTTCCTCCTCTCCTGACCACATCAGAATTACAACTAAACTGCAGAACAACCATCATTGAGAATCACCTGAAGTCTAGGTGAACCGAAGTCCTATAACTAAGGACATTTGGAAAAAGCTACCTGGAGACTGGAAGGGTGGAGAGATGGAACAGGGTTTCCCACACCTATGTGTGGTGGTTAAAAATTGAGAATGGTATCTCAGCAGTGGAGGTTCCCTCTGAGGAATTAGGGATCTCAGCCCCACACCAGGCTCCCCAGCCCAGGGTCCCAGTGCCAGGAAGTTAGTTTTCACAACTTCTGTCTGAAAACCAGCAGAGATTGTGGCTGAGTTAGATGGAAGACAGCTGGAGTCCCAGGTGCTCTTCTTAAAGGGCCCACACATGGACTTACTCGCTGATGGACTCACTCGTTCTGAGCTCCAGTGCTGGGACATCAGCTCGAAAGGTGCTAGGGGCATATGGGGAGGAACTGAGTTGTCTGGCTTCAGGGTGACAGGAGGAGGGGCAGCTTTCTCCCTGACAGAAGTGCTGGCAGAAGTCATAGTTCCTTTGTTGAGCCCTCCCCCTTCCCTGCATGCAGACGCAGGTGGCCACCATATCTGAGTCTCCGTCAGCTTGTCTAACACTGTTTTCCCTCCCCTGGTGATTCCCTACGACCCTGCCCCACTCAAGCCACTTCCAGTGGCTTTTCCATACAAATGGCCTAGTTCATCCTAAAATCTCTCAAATGTTCACAAACCCCAAACAAGCAGCATCTGGCCTTGGCATGCCCTGTACCTCTTGTTAAGCAACCCCAAGCCTGGCACTGGTGGCAGCCAGCCTTAGTTTGCAGCTCAGCCTCTGGCAGGTACCTACAAACCCAGCAAAGTGGCAACCATCAGCAGGTCACTTTGTAGCTCATACGAAGTAGTCCCGGGCAGGACACAGGCAGTGGCTGACCATGGCCTGCAACAGAGCCCCTCCCAAGAGGCCCCAGAGCCAAGACACCTGGTGGCTGGCTTCAGACCAGGGTACCACCTAACCACCTCCACACACCCGAATGGCAGACTGGGCAGGAACCAGAGCCCTGCTAAAGTGAATCCTGCTCCATAGGGTCAGTCCCTACACAATGGCTTCTTCACTATAGTCATGGCCAGCCCTCACAACCAATCTGCCAGAGGGTCAGTCCCTCCCACTGACATGCAAATGACAACCAAGTCTCAATTACAAGAGGCAGGCACATACAACCCACACAAGTGACATCTGGAGCACCCGGCTCAGGTGACTAGGGAAATTGTGTCACTTGGCCCCACAGGACACCTACTACAGAAGGCCACTCTACTAAGACCGGGAGGCATAGCAGCCCTACATACTACACATAAACAAACACAGGGAGGCAGCCAAAATGGGGAGACAAAGAGACATGTCCCAAATGAAAGAACAGAACATAGCTCCAGAAACAGAGCTAAACAAAATGGAGACAAGTAACATTTTCTTCTGGTCCCAGGTGTTTGAAAGCTGTGGGCTTGGGTGCAGACATCGCCAAGTCCAAGAGCCACATCACGCACAACCAGTCCTGAAAATGGCACAGAAACAGCATCAAGAACCCCTGATCACAAAGATACAAATCTCTTAAGGGGGTGGATCCCAAGTTCCTGAGGAACATGCACTTTACCAAGTAGCACAACCAGAAGGACCTGAAGAGGCTGCAAACCAACAATGCCAAGGCCATGAGTGCATGGGCTGAGGCTATCAAGGCCCTCATAAAGCCCAAGGAGGTCATTTGTTTACTTGTACAAATAAACCTGAGGCAGGATCTGTTAAAAAAAAAAGAGAGAGAGAGAGAGAGACAAATAATCTACCAGATGCAGAGTTCAAAACACTGCTTATAAGGATGCTCCCTGGTCTCAGTGAGAACTTCAACAAAGAGCTAGGAAACATAAAAATGGAGATAGAGAACATAAAAAGGACCTAGTCAGAAATAAATAATATAATAACTGAAGTGAAGAATACACTAGAGAGAAT